CGAAGGAGGTTCGTTTAATACGCACTAACTTCGAGTGGTGAGTTACCATTGAGTCCCTTAACGTGGCGCGCATCGACTTTCACTTGACTTTTCCTAAAAAACTCTTTATATCTATTTAACTTCATAAAAAGTACTGTTGAATTTGAACAAATCTAAGAAAATCCTACATCTATTTAACAGAACCTTTGAAGTTAAAATAAGTTATTATCAGCCCTACTTAAATACCTAACCACAGGCTTGTTAATTTTGGGGGCATTTTTGAGCGCATTTGAAAAGAGTTCATTTTGCACTTTACAAAACAAATTAGAAACAAACTAAAATTTAATCGTTGAAATTTAATTGCTGATATTTCACTCACAGTGAAATTTAGGGTGAAGAAACACACCCAAAAAGTTGCTCCAGTAGAAGCGAAAACTCAAGGTGCGCCAGGAGCTATACCATGTTAGGGTACATAAGAAATAATAAATTCAACAACCAGAATTAGAAGTTGGCGGCACAACGCTCGTGGATACGTGGTACCGCGTGTGTTGCATTCTGTGATTCGCCAAATACATGCGCGAGTCAAGCTGATGAATGTGAGTGTGGTGGGTGCCACCACAGGTATGCGGCGTATAATTGCAGTAGTGTTTAGGTATGTCAAATTATGGGATGCTATAGAGGTTTACGTTGAATTCGGAAACTAATTCTCAAGTTTGAGTGTTGACATTCGCTGCACCAGGTCATACGTATTACCACCAGGTCCGTGACAAAGAACTCATTGCTAGCATGATGGCCTAGTAGGTCTAGCGAGCACCAGAGTTTACGGGCAACCTGTTTCATATACACAATCATTATATACATAGCGTCACCGTAATTATTCCTGGTCACAGTAAGCTTCCACTCTCTTTTACCTGGACATCTAAGGCCAAAAATTGTAAATTCATTCTCCTTTTCCAGTGAGGATGTATGCCGGTTTGACCGCTTGAAAATTGAGAAGAAAACCCCAGTCTCTTTCTTTCCTGCAACCAGCTAATGTGGCGGTGCTCAAAACAATGGCCAATTCCTTTGTTCAAAAAGTGTGTGGATGGTCTTCGTGCATCTCGTTAAACGGAGTTTTTCGGAAATGGCTTGAACGAGTTGTATTGGAACATTTCTCTTTCCCCACAACAATTTTAATGAAATGTGTAATGAAATAGGTGTTCAAGTGTTTTTCGACAAAAAGGAACCAGGAACGGCCATCTTTTTGTAAAGAAACAAAGGACTTTCACACTTAGATGTTGGAAATTGGTATATATGGACTGAAAGTTAGCCTAACCACTCTGGTCTCACCGCAGCTGTAATCATCCGCGTAAAGAAAATGCAGCCCATGATTTGGATGTTTATTGTGTCTTATTTCGATAGGGAAACTGAAACAACTTTATTATTTAATTACTTTGTGATTGATAGTAAATTCTGACCAGTGGTTTTGGGGTACGAACCACCCTTACCAGTAATTAAGTGATGAGGGCACTGATACTGTGGAAAAACTGTAATAGGGCGCGGGCTACTCTAGTTTCCCTGTGTACGAAGTGTTCCGTGTCTTTGAGCAGACCCTAAAATGTCTGTTCCTTGGGAAGCAACCGTCTCCTTTTGGTGAAGAAACCTTGTTGGAGGAGACAGTTTGGACAGTCGGCTACTGGTGAGTGGTATTGCCCTGACTTATCTCACCTTAGTTTTGCCATTCAGCAGTGTTGTGTTAACCGAGCTCGATTTCATTCAGTGTGAATTGAGATGCGCTATTGAAGCGACGTAAGGTTGCAGTGCGTGCGCTGTCACGTTTTCAGTTCCTCGTTGGTGACCTTTGGCCTACATTGTGTATTCAACAAGAGAGTGTAGTTTCCGCTGCAGTCGCATTGCGAGTTGTGAGCACGGCTCGAGAAATGTTTTCAATAACTTTTCACTAATTAACACTGGAATCTTTCCAGTGTTTAAGTAGCTTACATAGTGTGTTGTTTTGTTGTTTCATTACAATATTTGTATCACTTTCGCAGATCATACTTCAACTGCTGTTTGGGAGTGTGCTTGTGTGACGGAATCTGAACGTGCTGGAGAGAGCTCGTTTGCTGAACTTTTAGGTAGGCCAAAATGGTTGCGATTGTTATTCCTTTGTTATAACTGTATAAATTACCACTGCGAGTAATTTGTTTCGTAATAATAAAAATATAGCACATGTATTTCTCTGTCTTTGTATTGGTTTATTTTTTGTCTAGTAATTCCACAATTCTAATTGGAAGTGTATTTTGCACTCACCTGAGTAGCTGGTATTCAATGAAAGTGGACTTTGAAAGTGATGTTCAGCGTGTCCTAGATTCAAGGATTGTCCCAACCACTGGCTGTTTGTGCATATTGTTGCGTTCCCTAAATATCAAGTTGATGGTAGCATGGACTTTATTAGTGTCTACAGGATGTGATATTTGGGGTCAACAATTAATTAAAAGGTGGACGTGAAACAAGTGGTTTGGGTGACAGTCAAACTGTATGGTTGGTTTATTGCTCTCACTTCTCTTCATCAAAGTTCAATGTGGGTTTGAAGAAGGTGTAGCTTAACATAATACAACACACAAAAGGCAAAGTTATAGAGAGGCGGAGTTGTATACGAGTGTAACTAAACTACGGTTTGGCAGGACCATTGGAAATGCAAGTCAGACGGAGTGGGTTACAGTACGTGTGTGTAGCATCGCATAATTAGGTTACACTCATCAGGCCGGGCAAAGGTGGGAGCTGTCCCGGACCACCACAGTGACTACCAAGGGCTGGACGGGGCCCAGCGCCTATGTGCACTGCCGTTCAGGCCGCAATGTGTTGAGCGCAATGATAAGATCGCCGCACTCTGTACCATTGGCTCAGTGTAGAGACGGGGAGGACTGGGCTAGTTAGCAGGACAAGGGTGGCGAGGGACACGGGGGTGTCTCGCCCTGCAATCGGTTCGGACGTAGCGATGACGGGCCGCTACGACTCTCACTAGCACCCTGGGCTAATTTGTACCGCTCTCGCATCGGTCCAAGCTAAGCTAGCTGGTCATTCATATGGTTACATTTCTTCTCCATAAGAATGGTTACTATCGCACTTCTCTCGGAAAGGGACCAACCGCCGCACTACGTTAGGTTCCGCTCTCGCAACAAGGGTTTGGTCCGCCGCACCTGACCGACGAGCGGGGAAAATCTGCTCTATTTATAGGATTCTAGAGGCTTAGGAGTTAATAAAATATGAGCGTCGCTGAACAGCTCAACCAATGAAAATCTTCCATCTCAAAGGGTCACATGACTTCCTGCTAAAGTCGTGTTCAAGAATCAAAGTGTCATGTGTAAAAAGGTAAAATACAGAATAAGCAGTCACTTGTACAAAGTGTAGAGCAGGGTGCGTGAAAGTGCTTACCCGGTCATCTGTGGCGAATGATTGACAGTTACAAAGTCTGAGGTTTCTGAACATTAGCATTTCAGGGAACCTTACCACGCCCAACCACGCAGCCATTTGGAGGGGAATTTCGACATACCAAACTGAGCAGAGAAAACACAAGGACAAAGGAGTGAAGGAACACGCAAAAACGCCAGAGTACAGCATGAATAACTTAATACAAAATTAGAGTCTCTGCTACATGTCCATAATGCATAGCTGAGCTAAATAAGAGACCCAGAAAAATGCAAGGACCAACAACGAGTAAAACTAGGGGGCGCTAGAATTCCAAGATTTGCGGGTGCGCAACAATATGCTGCACAACCTTAGTGCTTGCACTTGCGTGTAATACAGTAGACTGAGGTATGGGTGGGTGTACTGTGTTTGGGTGCTTGGGTTGGTGGGGGGGTTCCACCTCTCTCCTTCTTCTTCATGCCTTGGTTATACATGGGTTGGCTGCAGATGAAAAGCCACTCCTGGCTTGTCCGCCATTCTAACATCAATGCAGGGCTTGAATATGCTCTGCTGATACTTACTTTATGTGTAAGAGAATATAAGTGTACCAAAAGGTAAGCGTAACAAAATTTGTCTTCAACAAATGTGAATTTTCCAAATACAAAACTGCCAGCCAGATGTTTTAACATGTTAATTATATACTGAAACCCCTCATTTCATCAGCAACAACAAAAAGAGTTATAGAAGCGTGTTGACCCAGCAGTCGGGCGCACAAACTCCAGAAATAAGTTAAATATCTCTCTACCTATGTATCAGTTCTTGTCCAACCCATCCATGTAACACGCCGTTGCATCGCACCCACACTCGCATTCTTGACGCGCGCGTGCATTTGGTAAATGAGGATACGAAATCAACACCCAGCAGACACCCCCCCCCCAAAATAACCATCATTAAACTGCTAACCAGTGCGCAGCGTGCGTAACAAGACAGGGGAAGCATGTTGTGGCAATGCATGAATTATTTATCCGAGCGCGGATGAGTGAGGTCGTTGAAATATGGAAGGGCTGCGTAACACCGTGATCAGAATATTGACAAGAATATAAGATTAAATCAGTGCTCTGAAATATAAGATTGCCGAGCAGATTCAGAATCTGCTTGCCCTGAAGAAGGTACTCAGTTACCGAAAGCTCGGCAATCATATATTTCAGAGCACTGGTTTAATCTTATATTCTTGTCGATGACTGAGACCGTTATTCGGTTCGTAAATGTGACGTCACTTCAGTTTAAACCATGCCCATTACACATGCCCTGCACATAGAGTTACATGTATAGAGCCTGAAAGTAAAAAGTCATATGCATGCAGCGTGCTTCCCCAACCCTTGCGCGGTCTTCCTATGGGGATTTTACATTGGGCCGTCCTGTAATGTTCGAAAATTTTTGGAAAAATCATTCGTTACTGAAACCACCCCATGAAACACTCATCTTGGAATTTTACCTTTGTCTCCCTCAAGTAACAGGCCTATTTTGAAAAAGTCACCAGGAGATTGGTAAAAGACGAATTTTATTAACGACCTGTCACGTCCGGCGATATCGTACCTAGGTCTGCTTGTTCATACACGTTTGCTTTCACTCGGCGTGCTTTCTTGAAAATGAGACGGTACAACCTTGCAAAGATTATACCCGCCTGCATTCGATGGGTTCCAGATTCCGTTGAGTTGACATCGCGCAGTTGTTGTCAGGAAAGGTTAGATAAAATATTAGAATCTTTCGTGAAAGTAGAATATTGCTTTATGTTTATTACCTTATAAATGATCCAAGTGTGTAAAATATTTTGATCTGTTTTAGTTCGGCTTTTACCCACAGACTACCATAAACATAACACTACCATAAACACAGACATAATCACTTATTTCGTCGTGAGCTATTCTTTACTTGCACCACCGCTTACCGAAACGAAACATGCGGCTGAGATATGACCTTACAGCTATCGTCGACCATCACAGCCCCGAATGCACAATATTGACACATAGGTTTTCTTAGCAGTGATAAGGATTCTTTGAAACTGACCCTTAGCACCAACGGCACAACAAATAAGTGAAATCTTTTATTGTTCCTCTTTTCTGCCAAAGGAATGCCAGCGTACCATTGTGGCATCTCACAGTAGGGCGTGGCACTGCATGTGTATGCGCGGCATAGGTGAACAGCCAGCAACGTATACCCGTGCAAGTTCAAAATACAAACATTCTTTCCATTGCCCTTTGGGCCTTATTATCGTACAGAATTCTCTTTGGAGAGACATTGCTCTGTGTGTCAGGATGCATGGATGAAGACAGCAACCTTAAAAAAGACCCGGACGGTTGCCTGTCGGTTCGAGTGAGGGCAGACGTTTTCTAGTCCAGCAGCATGAAGGAGGAAGGACAACATTTGAATATGGACCGGTGGAAGCTGACTACCGTGGCGGACCAACCTTGAATGCTGACGGGCGGTTTGGGAATATCCGATTGTCGGTTTGCTTATCACAACATTCAGGACGCAAGATGGTTAACTCAGTCATGACTGCAGCCGACAGCCCTTGCTGCCGACCTGACATTCGTCTGACCTTTACCCTTTGATCTGTATTATTGCGTGGCCCTGATTGCCTGGCCCTACTCGATGAAAGGACCCCACTCGGACCCCACCTGCGGTCACTGGTGTTCTCATCTGAGGATTTTCCGCCATGGCCTGGAGAATAAGAGAGGGTACATTGACCTCGTCCTTAAAGTTGGCGGAATAACTATTCAAACTCGAACAAACAAGGACTTGGCATAGATATACCCTATTTGGCACGCCAGTCTTGGCTGGCATGAACGAACTGGTCTTGCCTGGCGCAGCAAAGAAGGGACCGCCGTGTCATCCTTCGTGACTTACCCTTATTTTGAGCTTTTAAGGCAGAGCTTCTCTTCTTCCGCAATGATGGACGCAATGCCGGTGGAAGGCGCCCTTGACTGGAACACGGAGGTGAGTGCCCCCGTATCATAAACTGATCGACACTCCCTGTTTAGTCTCTTTGAGAATTGGCCAGGATATAATTTCTACAGACGTAGATCAGTTGATCAGGCGTTCAAGTTAGTCAATATAGGTTTTCCAGGCAAACTTCAGCAAAAAGTCGTTCAGTTTCACACTAGTCAGTTTAAAATCGTTTCTTTCATTCATATTCGTCAGAAAGGCTTAGAAAGAAGTTGATCAGGCGTTCAAGTTAGTCAATAAGCAATCTTGTTTTACTTGCAATGGAAATCAGATTCGCTCCAGTGATAAGCACTTTCTGAATCCTAGATTCTATCTAATTTTCCCTGAAAAAAGTTTAATGGTGGATCTTGAGAGTGATTTTGTAAACGTTAAGTTTGTAGATAACTTGTGGCGGCCAGGTTCTTACAGGAAATTGAGCATGGCAGGTTGAGAAAATCTGATCAACTCTTTTAAGGGGAGTAACGCGTGGTTTTTTGTACATTTCGTGTTTTAACGTTAACCCTGACTTCATTTCCCTGAACGTTTGTCAAATTTCATAACTGTGTACTGATACATGTGTTTTGAAATGGCCCAGTTAATCAGACATGAAACCAAAGTGCACAGCATTAGTACGCACAGCAAAGAGAAAGACAAAAACTTTCCGATTTGACTCAAGAAATAGGCGTAGATACAAACAAAAAGAAAGGACATAAGGGAATCATTTGCAACCATCAAAACAATGTTTATGGAACAGAAACGCCATACGGTACCGACTTACGATAAGAGACCGACGGCATTAACTTCTCCATCGTTCCTAAATTGATCACCAGAACGCGAAATGGATTTACTGTAAACGAAAAAGAAAATAACGAGCAGATAAAAGTTAAAAAGACCCTTTTCACCTAGAACATGCAGAAGCACCCCTTCGTTGGTTAAAAAGAGTCAAGCTGGTCGGGAGTGTTTGTTTTGTTGGCAGCGACGCATCCGCAACGCGTGCATTTCAAAGTCTTTTTACAAGGAGCCTCCGTTGCTAGGAAAATCTTGCCCTCTCTTTATCCAGTTTCATGGCCATACTTGATGCCATGCTGGGAATATTTGATAACAGCAAGTGTTTAGAAACCGCTTTGCATTCTTGCAATTCTCCCTTTGTCAAACGGCACACTGTCTCTTACTGCGCAAATATGGTTTCCCATTATTCTTTTAATACAACCACGAAAGTTGTCCAAACCTAGATACCATGTTGGCATCTGAAAGTGTACATCTTTGTCTTTCCACCAACGTAAGTTACACACGTATATTTCTTCTTTTAACGAAAACTGTTCCCCTTTCAACACATTACTGCGCCTATTCCCACTCAAAGATGGGTTCCTATATATTCGAGCCTGTAATGTCTTCAAAATTGTCCAAATTTGGAACGGTGGAAACAAAAAAGGGTACATGTTCGTCTATCTATCCATGAAGTTTTATATCCATATTTATCAGCAAAGACAGGCAAAAGTTGTTACCTTACTGCTTCGTATTTTAATTCAACTCCCCCTTTGTCAACACTTTCTACTGGGCCTCTTCTTTTGCAAAGCCCCCCACAGATGTTGCCCTACTGTTTCCAATCTTTTGCAATTCTGCCTTAAGTTTGTCCACACCTTACTCTGCGTCTTTCCGCGCATATATAACTCCCGTTTTCCCGAGGAAACAGTCTGTGAATTGTCCAAGCTTGCCGACCTTGGTGGCTTCGGAAAGGGCACATGTTCCTGCATCCTACCGTGGTCATAGATTTCACAGGAACAGTCTTATACGAAAGTATGTGTAATATATGCATATTGTATTGCGAGATGAATTAAAAGACTTTGACAAATTGAAACCTGTGAACAGTAAATTATTTCAAATTTCAAGGAAATTTATCGATTGTGATGTCCTTTAATGTTGACTTTTTTGGGGGGATCTGGAATTTATCACAAACTTGGTTAATTTTAACAGAGAAACCTGGGATTCATTAAGCATCGAGGGTTTTGTCGACTGGTTGAATTTTAAGACATTATTTACACCAATTTCCTTTGAAAAATATTGACAAGATTTAAATTCCGTTGAAACGGTATTGTCAAGATTGAAGAGCAGACGAAAATAGACAACCGCACGATCGTTTCATAGTATAAACAGCTATGGCGATCGCATATAAACAGTGATCAGAGCATACTCGAGTCCCACAAGCATAGCTGGGTGCACGAACAGAAGTTTAACAACTCGCAGGTCTCCGTCATTGTCAGAGTGAAGAGAGTAACGCATGCAAACAGACGGTGCTTCAAAGTCCCCCACGCTCTGCATATCGTTGATCGCACCACGAAGTGACCCATCTCATTTTGGGTCGAAATTTCGATTTTTACACCAATGGTGTTTATTTTTAAAGATTTTCATTTTGTTGAAGTTTTAGACAAATTCTGTGAGTTTTTAATTAATTATTTGAATTAACAATTTCAGCACATATTCCAAAAGCTCCAATCAAAATTCGACAATGTGACATTTTGCGATGAGTCACTTCGTGAAAACAGGAAATGATGCCGAACGCTATGCTAAACTGTCACAACATGGACGAGTCCCCCAGAATATATTTGAAAAACAAAACAAATGCCACGACGAAGTGACCTATTACAACGGTATTAAAAAAATTAGTATGGCGTTTTTCCAAGGTATTTCAACTTTGTGTTTTTCAGTTATCTTTCTTTCCTCACACATGCAGTAGTGTGGTTTTTTCTTTATTTTGGTTTGTTGAAATTACTTGTGTCATTGTCTTTTTTTTCAGTCGTTTTTGTTCCGGTTCTGACTATGGTCTGGTGTCTAGCCTCACTTTTGTATATAATGTTTGTGGGTAAACGAGCTTCTTCGTTACTTTTATCACGATTGGTCGCTCGGGTAGGTGTGTTTGCGCATGCGCCAAACATTTTGAAAATGGCGCCCCTCATTATCGCTTATGAATATTAATTTTTAATCCCTTGGGAGATAAACTTGAGACGACTCTCCAATTACATCCCCTCTTTCCAGTGACGACATCGTATCTGGCGGTTTCTAGTCACCCCAGTTGCTTAGATGGATTCATCAAAATGATAAATATTTTATAAATGATAAAAATATTCCATTCCAAAGTAAATTTATGCAAGGTCAAGTTTTCGACACATTTTTGAATAAAATCGTTAATTTTTTCAGTATTTATCAGAAAAAGTAAGGATATTTTTAAAACCGCATTTTTTACAGAAATCTACCTTCTTAAATTTGGTGAACGAGGGTCCAGTGTTCATTATTTTTGCTGCGGGAAGACAGCTAAGATTTTTTTTAGTCATGAAAACCCACCCTTGAATATCATATTTTTGGTGACATTTCGATTTGAAATTGCTCGTGTACCATGTCGTGAAAATTATGTACACGTACGTGTACGTAGGCCCAAAGTAAACGACATTCAAAATGGCGGCGTCGCTATGCGTCGCTTAAACTATCAGACTGTTTAGTCCCTCCACCAAACCGTCATTTTATGCGAACAAGTTTCCCGTAAGTAGACTTTTCATTAAACGATTAACACATAGGGCCTAGACTTCAGCTTGTTTGGGAAGATTTTGTTCTTTAGCATGGCTTTGAGTATGGCGACAGACAATTCCTCTGATAAGCCAGGCCCACTCGCATTATGCAGGCATGTAAACAGTGAATAGGACTAGCCTAACGTACACATAGGCCAGGCCTGCCATGCCTGTTGCAAGCCTAGATTAGTCACTGTTATTTAGAGGCCCCTTTGTATTTGCACAAACATCCTACACATCCTTTGTCCTTGCCATCTAACGGAAATGTGTGCAGGCCCGCATGTATTAGTCTAAATTTATATTGAGAGTCATGTGAAGATGTAGCCTGGATTAGTACGTTGGCCGAATCAGCCCTTGAGATTAGGCCTATTTGCCCCCTTTTCCTATAACATTCAAAGCTGTTCCTTTTAACCTGTATTGTAGGTTTGGCCAAACGTCCATGTAGTTCTAATTATAGACATTACTTCTGGGTAAACACTGTTCATTGAGAGTCCATGGCGTAGATAGTGTGAAATACACAATACTGAATGAAATTGGCATTAAACATTTTTTTTAATTTAACCTTGGTGGAGGGGACCTTGATTAATACACAGACTACATATGTTTCTTTTATGTTACAGGACTCATAGTCTACAATTTTTTGTTCTGCCATGGATGTTCTTGTAAAGTGGTCAGATGGAAGCCAGAATATTGTGTACTCTGAACATCTTAAATACAAACCTCCCCTTAATGTGAACAAGGCAGTCAAAATGAAATGGGGACGGGTCTGGTGGAGGGGCCGGGTTCTGGATTTTGAAGAGAGTACAGGTGAGTCTAAATCCTATTAAACGTTACTTTTTCACTTGTATTACTTTTCATTTGTCTATGTGACATATATGATATCTACAATGGCATGGGGATACTGATTAGTGTCCTTCCAGTCTTTTGTTGGTTTCACTTGTTGATGTGATAAATTAATGGATACTTACAATTAATTGGGCTTGATCATTGGGGAGTTTTGGTTCATGTATCAAATGATGGAGAATTTATGTATTTTACATGATTTCAGAAAATGACGAGGACACCAGTGACAGCACAGACTCAGATGATGTACCCATAAGTACACGGCTGAGTACAACAAAGAGTAAGTTGTGTCATGGTGTATTTTACTTAATTTGAACACTTTTTACCTGTTCTGGTATTATTCGCAACATCGTTTAGAGCTCTTATTCATAATAGAGCAGCATGGCAGAAATTGAATACTACTTGAGATGCTGTTATCCAATATAACAATTGAGTTTCTTATATGAGTAAATTATAAATTAATTTTCAGGCACTGGCTGCTATTTGGCAACTACGTGTACAAATGGAAATCTATCTCCCCGATTTTTAATGGAAACAGGTAATCCTTGAATAGAATTCTTGTAATTTTGGAGTGTATGTTATGAGGACACACGCTGCTTAAACTCTACACAATTTTTTTTCTTCAGCAAAAAGTCATTTGACTGCATGTTAGGTGTATGATTTCAGGTTTAAATTTCCCCCTTTCTTCTGCCTGTGTGTATTGGTGCCAGTCACTTTCATTGACTCAAAACAAGTATTTTACTCTTTTGTGAATTTCTTTCGGTGCTCCAGAGGTTGCGGCCTCATGTTTCAGTCCTCATACTCCAGCCCCTTGCAACAGTCCAAGACCAGAAGCTGCAGCGAGATGCAGTGAATCTTCTTGCACTCCAGAAGATGCAACTTCAATTTCAACAACTCCAGCCCCCTGCAGTAGTGGATCTTCAGAATGTGTAGTCAGCAACAGTGTCCTTGCTACTGCTACTACTTTGGAGGACAACATACCTGAGGCTACACCTGGACACAGCAGTCGAACAGTCTCACCAGTTGATGCAGCTCCAATTAGCAACCCCCATCGAAAACCTGCTGAAAGCTGCAGCAGCTCTTCATATACCCCAGATGATACGGCTAATTGCAGCATTTCGGCTTCGGAGGTTGTGCTAGGCAGCAACAGTTCATTTCTTACTGAAGGTGCTCCAGCCAGCTCCAGTGGTTCAACATGTACTTCTCCTGGCATAATCAACGCCCATTGCAGTCCTAATGGTACATGTTTAAGTTGTATAAAGGCTTTTTTTTTTAGTTTTCCAACAAATCAATTTTATTTAAATCTGGAACAATTTTTGATACGATTCACTGATGAGGAGGTTTTTTTATAAAACATTGAAGAGAGAAGATAGTGTAATCTGAATACAACTGTATCTTTAGTTTTAGATTATATGTTTCGTGCTCTGCTATTTTATAACTGTGCTGTTTATGTTTGTGTTTCCTTCTTGCAGGTCTGATGGGTGCAGTATCAAGCAGTGCAGACAACACAGCAGTTCAAGACAATGGTAGAGTACAGACTTGCTCCAATTTTAGTTGTCACAAGGAAATTTTTGCTGCTTGCTCCATTTGTCACTGTCTTGTATGTTTTGAACATTTTGTAAACTCAGATTCACGTGCAACACATAATTTGCTCTTTGACATATTTGAGGGTCATGCTGGAATTAAAGCTTGTACCAATGTGTAATATGCCAACAGTGAGACTGTGGAAGATCTGCTTCCCAGAATAGATGAAAGATGTGACAGTTTTTCTTCTACTTCAAGCTCAGAGAGAGTGGATTGCAAGACATATAAAAGTAGAATCTCCAAAAGAAAGCACACATAAGAAGAGATTTACACGTTTTTACTTGCCTAAAGCTGACAGTAAGTGCAAGGTTTGCAAACTGATGTTCCTTAACACATTAGGAATTTCTGACCGACAGGTTAGAACAGTTGTGAAAAAGCTTGGCCAGTGTTCCACGGTGGGAAAAGAAAGACGAGGGGGCAGGCAGACAAAACTGAAAGACAAATAACTAAGAGATGAAGTTGAGAGACACATACAGCGGTTTCCAAAAACAGAGTCACGCTACTGTCGTGCCAGTTCCTCCTTTCAGTACCTATCCTCAGATTTAAACGTTAATAAAATGTATGATTTGTATGTGACAGAGCACCCCCAGAGAAAAGCTTCCAGAAGTTTTTATGGAAAGGTGCTTCGGAACTTGAAGCTCAGATTTCATGAGCCAAAAAAGACCTGTGCGGAATATGTGAAAGTTATCACAAAGGACGTGAACCAGAGCGAGATGTGCTTAACAGCCAATACGAGAGGCACATGTAAGAAAAATGTGCCGTCCGTGAGATAAAAAGTGAAAAGAAAAAACAAGCTACTGCAAACCCAGATAAGTTCCAAGCATTGGTATATGATCTTCAGCAAGTAATATACTTGCCAAAGTCTGGAAGGGGGCACTCTTCTATAGACTAGCCTGCTACAATTTTACAGTATATGAATTGAGCAGTAAAGCAGGATACTGTTACCTTCATCATAAGGGAATTGCTAAGCGAGGAGCTAATGAAATTGCTTCTAATCTGTACCAATATCTGTCCATCTTAGACCTTCAAGGGAAAGAGGAGGTCGCCCTGTTTAGCAATGGATGCATAGGGCAAAATAAAAACTTCATTTTGCCAGCCATGTTACTTTACTTCGTGGCAAATTCTTCGTCTGTGAGACAGGTGACTTTGTACTTTTTTGAGACCAACCATGGCCAAAGTGAGGGGGACGCTGTCCATAGTACAATTGAGCGATGCTTAAGAGGCACTTGGGATGTTTTTCTTCCTTGCCAAATAGCTACTCTAATCCAAGCTGCTAGAAAGTTCCCTGAACACTACCATGTCACAGATGTGCAAAGTAGCGATATACATGATTGGGAGAAGTTAGGGAAGAAAATGCATATTCTGAGAGTTGCAGGGGCAACCTGCTGACTGGAAAAAGGTAATGCAAGTGTGAGTGTGTAAAAATCTGCCAAAAAAGATCATGATCAAATGCTCGCACTTGGAAAACACCTTTGATACGATGGACATTGAAGACGACTTAAGACGACCACTTGCGGAGCCTTTGTTTTTCCCACCTGAGGCATATGCCAAAGCACCACCTAAACTCTCTGAAGGTAAATACAATGACCTAATGACTCTGTGTTCAGGGCCCACTCCAGTAATCAGCCACCAGAACCATATTGCCTTCTACAGGAATTTGCCACATTAATTGAAAAACAGCAGTGTGTTCTTGTAGACATCATGTATGGGTCTGGTACATGTTCATGTAAAAAGGCTATGTTTTGATTCGTTCTTAATGTCTTAGAAGTTGCGTGGATGAATCCAAAAATGTTATACCTGAAGAATAATGAATTGCCATAATTTAGTGATTAAGAAGACTAAGTTGGCTGTTTTCACTATTAAAAAACAGTCTTTTATGCTGTTTATGATACCTAAATTGAATGGGCTGAAATGAATTTCACTGGTTAAAACTGCCTTGTTATTAAACAACTAATGTGTAATGAATTTTTGGAGGATAACCGTCTTTCGTTTTGTACTTTATTTTAATTATCAACTTCAAAGTTGATTCATGTGTAATTTTTAACTGTCTAGAATTAAAATAAGCACTAGAAAAAATGGGCAGGTCTACAAAATTCGTTTCTCAAGTTAATGTAACTTTGTGTGTGCTTTGATAAAATTTATAATTTGGGTCGTTAGTGGAGGAAGACAGTAATTTGAAAAATAATTTGTCTCAGCTGTGCAATAATGTTTGTTAGTAGTTACATCCCCCCACACCATCAGATCTTTTCGGACAGAAACTGGAATTAATAGCAGGCTAAACCTAATGAAAATGTAATTCAGCAAAATAAAACACAACCAAAAATGTGTCAAAATCAAACTAGAGTAAAGCACTCTCATCATACACAGCCCATTAAAATTCCAGTTAGAATTTATCCAACCAAGACAAATTTGGAAATAAACTTTAAAACTTAGTACAAAGATCTGAAGAGCGTCCACTAATAGTAAACGAATGTAATAAAACAAACTACGCATGCGGAAAAACACAAACGGCGCAAAAACACAAACGTCACAAAAATTTATCGAGAATTCACACTCGCAGTTTCACGAAGTAACACATCGGAATGGGTCATGCGTTGTTTTATGGAAATATGAGATGTGCAATTTCACGAAAAGACATGAAGTTTTTATTTTATTTCCAGCTTAAATAAACCAAATTTTCATTCAAAAAATTAAAGTACTCGTTGGCCATCCTTCTTTAATATGCAGTATACACTGGCCCAGCGTTTTTGACATTTTAATGAGAAATTATTACGACAAACAAATCAGAAATTTGGACGCATTTTTCTCGATACAATAAAATATGAGATAGGCCACTTCGTGGTGCAACCAACGATATCTCCTACAATAACTGGCTCATAGTACTACCGCGAATATCCACCTCATACCCAAGATTACACAGTTACAACGCAAAAAACACGACACATAAACTTGGGGAAAGATCACCGTTGTCCATCATTTTTGGTGGCCAGGCAACATCGCCAGTGCGCGCAATGCACGAATGATACGCACGTACAGCATACCACGTGATCAACCAGCGACCAATAAAGGTTCACTGTCTATAACAACGATAGATTGTGCATGCCTGTAATCAGAAATATCTGCTAAAGAAGGCAAAAGTTTTATACTAATTGGTATTTGTGTGTAATTCTCCCCCTTTCCACCGGCCGCTCTACCTCTTTTCGCGTAAAGACGGGTCCCCATTTGCGAGCTTAAAAAGCCTGAAAATTCTCTAACGCTTGCAATCGTGGTGGTTTCCGAAAGGGCACATTGTTTTCCATCCATTGATGTAAGTTTCAAATCCATATCTGCTGCTATTTGGAAAACATCTGCGAAAGATGTCAAGAGTAATTGCCCTACCAATTTCTTTTTTGGTTGAATTCTGCTTTTATCAACAACTTCTGGGCCACACACAGATGGCTCCATGTATTCCCGCATCAAAATCTCTGTCGATTGTCAAAACCTTTCAGACTTGGTGGCATTGAAAAGAGCACGTTTCTTAATACACAGGTGGAAGTTTCGTATCTATATTTGCTGTAGTTAGGGAAATACCAAAGGCAAGGCAAAAAGGCAAGACCTTTTGCCCTGTACTGCTCAATATTTGTGTGCAATCTGCCCTTGTCCACGTACTACGAGGTTAAAAATGGTTCCCCATATATTCCAAATAAAAAACCTGAGAATTTTCTAAAACCAAAAAGGTCACATGCACCTCTATCCACTAGTGTAAGTTCATAATAATATATTTTGAAGTTAGCGAAATATCTGTCAAAGAATTCAAAAGGTGTTGCCCTTCTGCTCCGTATTTTGTCATAGTCCTGCCTCTGTTCACACCTGGCTCTTCGATGCGCAAAGATGGCTCCCACTCTGCGGCATAAAAATCTGAAAACAGTCGAAATGTGGCTATTTCCGAGGCCTCCCTTTCCACTGGTGTAACTCAACCAAATTTGCTCTAGGCAGAAAAATTGCGAAAGAGTTAATACCCAGTTCGTTCTTGGGCTTTTTTTGCAATTCTCGCTTTGTTCACGCCTTGCTGGTTTCTTCCCGAGCAAGGACTGCTCCCTTCTTTCGAGTTTACAGACCAACCCCCACACTGCTAATTTCCCTCATATTGAATCATATTCTGAAGAGCCAAGTAATCTATAATTTATAGGTAATAAAACTGGCACATAGCTATATCTCCCTTGCAATACTCGGTTTTTGTATTAACAAAACACAGTTTTTCCCCCATTTTTTCCTGCGATTCCAGTCCGGTAAAATGGACTTCTTTTCGCGGCCCATTAAGCATCTAACTAATATTGATTCATGCAGTATTTCTGAGGAGAGGAAATACCACAATGCGTGCAAGCATAGCACACGTAGCCGCGGACGACAGCACGAACTTGAAGATTACTTGTCGTCCCGGGCTTTCTGGAAAATAAAATGGCTGAAGGAGCACAAACTTCTCATGGGAAAAGAGAATGCCGCAGAGTAGATCCCGCACACAGGTCGTTCCCCGGTAGCTTAATTTTTCCTAGGAAGGTTAGAGGTAATCATCATAAAATGGGAGTATCTTAATCGTTGAGAATGCGTTTTTTGTAGGAACGTTGGGGACAATTATCATAAATAGGGTACACAAACTTTTAAGTATAAGACACAACAAATTGCTTTTCTGGCTGACTTGCTTGGTAGCTCTGTTAGAAGAGCGTCGTACATGTACGTTACACAAGCCGAGGATGTGAGTCTGTATGTATTAATTTTTTTGGTGAGGAATTCGTTGGTTGGAATATGTTTTTATAATGATGTAAAGCCCGGCATTTATCTTATCACTTAAGTTTCAACGTGTCCACATAATTGCCCCTAACTCTCCGAGGGGAAAAAAATTACGCTCCCTGTACGCGGTGCACTCGGTGCGCACACACTGTAGCGCCATGGTCATGTACATATACGTTTGTAGCGTAGCCAGTCGTACCACGGATACCAGTTTCAGGCTCTGGTATTACATCATAAATACTCCGCTTCTGAACAGCGCCGCCAGTGGTCAGATTTGGGGGATTTTTCCTGAAACCTCTAAGACACCTGTTTTATAAGTTTTGGCAAAATTACAAAACGCAATACGGATTACAAAACACGATACAGATATATGGTTATATGATTTCTTACACAATTACACACTAAACACAATATAGTTTATTTTTAAAATTTTTAAAACAGTTGGTCTTTAAAAAAGGTCTGATAATTGTCCAAACTTGCCAATCAAGTTGGCATCGGAAATGGCAAATTGTACTCCAACCGTTGAAGTTTCACATTCATATTTGTTGTAGTTCGGGAACCATCTGTGGAAGTAGTGAAGAATTTTTCCTCTACTACCAAAATAAAATCTCAACCTTACTGGTCCTCTTCTCACGCAGAACTTGCTCCCTGTATTCCTTCATGAATAACCTGCAAATGGTCCACACCTGGCAATAACATGGGAAACTTCACGCTTTCCTCTATCCACTAAGGTAAGTTTCATATCCATTCTTGCTGCGGTTAGAAAGTTTCATGTCCACATTTACTGTAGTTAGTTATCAGCGAAAGAAGTCTGCTTGAAATTTTGCAGCAGTTGTCCCTTGTGCACACCTTGGATTCAAATTTACCGCACATACATACATACTCCCTATATCCCTTCATAAAAGACCTGAAAATGTTCCAAATCCGGTAGTCTTTGCATAATCGGACAGTTCACATGTTGCTCCTTATATCCCTTCATAATAGACTTGAAAATGCTCCAAATTCGGCAATCTTTGCATTTTCAGACAGCTCACATGTTCCTCTATCCAGTGATATCAGTCTCATATCCACATTTATTGTAGTTAGAGAGATATTCTCGAAAGAAGTGTGGAGTTTTTGCCTACTCCTTTCAATTTGGCAGCGGTTGTTCATTGTACACATCTTGGATTCAAACTTCCTGCACATACATTGCTCCGTATATCCCTCCATAACAGACTCGATAATGGTCCAAATCCGGCAATCTTTGCATTTTTGAATGTTTCACATGTTATTCTATCCAGTGATATAAGTTTCGTATCCACATTCGTTGTAGTTAGAGAGATATTCTACAGAGAAGTGTGAAGTTTTTGTCCTGCTGCTTACCTTGTGAACACCTTGGATTCAAACTTCCTTCACATATATTGCTCCGTATATTCCTTAATAAAAGACTCGATAATGCTCCAAATCCAGCAACCTTTAAACTTTTGGATAGTTCACATTTTCCTCTATCCTGTGATATAAGTTTCATATCCACATTTGTTGTAGTTAGAGAGATATTCTCTAGAGAAGTGTGAAGTTTTTGCCTACTCCTTTCAATTTTGTAACGGTTTTTCCTTTTGCACACCTAGGATTCAACCTTCCTGCACATACATTGCTCCCTATATCCCTCTAAAAAGACTTTATAAAGGTCCAAATCCGGCAATCTTTGCATTTTTTAATCGTTCAGATGTCCCTCCATCAAATGGTGTAAGTTTCATATCCACATTCGTTGTAGTTAGAGAGATATTCTCGAGAGAAGTGTGAAGTTTTTGCCTACTCCTTTCAATTTTGTAGCGGTTTTTCCTTTTGCACACCTTGGATTCAACCTTCCTGCACATACATTGCTCCCTATATCCCTCCATAAAATACTTGATAATAGTCCAAATCCAGCAATCTTTGCATTTTTGAATGGTTCACATGTCCCTCTATCCAGTAGTATAAGTTTCACATCCACCTTCGCTGTAGTTAGAGAGATATTCTCGAAAGAATTGTTAAGATTTTGTCCTGCTGCTTGCCTTGTGAACACTTTGGATTCTTACTTCCCGCGCATACATTGCTCCCTATATCCCTCCATAAAAGACTCGATAAAGCTCCAAATCCGGCAATCTTTGCATTTTTGAATGGTTCACATGTCCCTCTATCCAGTAGTAAAAGTTTCACATCCACCTGGCTGTAGTTAGAGAGATATTCTCGAAAGAATTGTTAAGTTTTTGTCCTGTTGCTTGCCTTGTGAACACTTTGGATTCTAACTTCCCGTGCATACATTGCTGCCTATATCCCTTCATAGTAGACTTGAAAATGCTCCAAACTCGGCCATCTTTAAATTTCAGACAGCTCACATTTCAGACAGCTTCCTGCACATACATTGCTCCCTATATCCCTCCATAAAAGACTTGATAATGGTCCAAATCTGGCAATCTTTGCATTTTTGAATCGTTCACATGTCCCTCCATCAAATGGTGTAAGTTTCATATCCACATTCGTTGTAGTTAAAGAGATATTCTAGAGAGAAGTGTGAAGTTTTTGTCCTGCTGCTTACCTTGTGAACACCTTGGATTCAAACTTCCTTCACATATATTGCTCCGTATATTCCTCAATAAAAGACTCGATAATGCTCCAAATCCAGCAACCTTTAAACTTTTGAATAGTTCACATTTTCCTCTATCCTGTAATATAAGTTTCATATCCACATTCGTTGTAGTTAGAGAGATATTCTCGAAAGAAGTTAGAAGTTTTTGCCTACTCCTTTCAATTTGGCAGCGGTTGTTCCTTGTGCACACCTTGGATTCAGCC